TGATACCCAAGCCTGGCCAGCAAAGCAGTAATATAATTACAACAGTTTTGTATTTTTATTATTTTTATTTCATTTCATAATATATTATGTTGTAATTATATTACTTTATTTATACTTTTCATCGTTACTGCTACTTTTCAATATACATTAAAACTACTAGTATTAGATTGAGTCTCTACCTTTTCCCCCTTCAGAGTGTCTTTTCCTGTGCCGGCCCTGGCGATATGCGAGCTCCGATTATAGAACGCTTTTCCACCTCCTTTGGGCCCCCGGGGGCCCTCCCCCAGTGTTTGCCAGTCTTGCGGGCTTGGTCATTCCCTTTCGAATGACCGGTGACGTCTCACTCCCGGCTCTCTCCACTGACACTAGTGACCTAGGTGTCACAGCCGAGTTAACCCGCCCACCTTCCCTGATTGGTTGATCAGGTGATCTCCCACGTTAGACGCCGCTCTATAAGCCCGCACGGGACAGCTGATGTCTTCAGTGCAGGGCTGGCAACGGCCCCGCCAACAACGGCGGTCCCTGTTGGAGGACCTCTTCCCCCTCAGCTGTCCTGGACTCTACCTCCTTCTCCTCTGTGGACACTCCTCCATTTCATCTTCTAGGTAAGATTAGGTTCTCTATACTCCTCTCACCCTTTGCCAAGTTTCTTTTCACAGATGCAGCTTGCATCTTCCTTCCCCAGGTTCCTGGAAAACTTTTGCACCCCCTGGTGGTTATCTCTTTGGTTGTTCTGGTGATACATCACTTTATATATACATCATGACCCCCTGGCTTTAGTCTTAAAACAGCCCTTTGCCATTATTGCGATCTGTGATCATTCAATATGCTTTGCTAGCTCACTGGCCCTTGATCCGATAGAAGCCAGTACCGAATACCTGGTGACCTCACACTGAAGGGGTAAGACTCATCTAACACTTTCTAATCCCAATCCGATATGCACAAAAATGTTCTTTTTTTTGTGTAATATTTACACTCTGTCTCTTATATGACTCCTAGACTACCTCCCTCTGCTCCTGAAGAAGGCCCCAGGCGTGAAATGCGTCAAGCCTTACATTGCAAGAAATTATCACCCCCATAAGATCTGTTGCTCCCACCTGAGGTTTATCAACCTAACCCTATTTTTTTCCTCTTGAGTTACATACGATGTCATCTTTATATGTATAGGACTATGATCATATAGGTTAACCTTGGTTGTGGAGCACAAGGGTTGATAGGAGTTATTTGTATTCCTTGATGTTATATGTTTTATATATGCTTTCATGCATATCCATTGATTTTAGTAATTTGTTTAATAAATGTATACTTTTTTTTAATAAACCTCTATGAGACTGAAGTTTATTGGATGT